CTACACACACACATATTAACAGATAGCACCTAGGAGAACACTCCACTTCGTTTCTGCTCGAATAACCTCAAGACTAACGCGGTGAGTGCGTGTTAAAAATCAGAAATGGTGAGAGAACATTGTGCTTGGTACATTTTTCGACTTCAAACCCAACTTCTGACAAAATCTGGCTAGCGCGCTTCCCATAATGTTTGCGCGTTAGGTCAGTAGGTTGGTCTTTCGCGGCTGTTCGAATGTATTCGACCACATGAGCGTTTACACTTCGAAAGCAATTCAGTCGAATGCGTTTTTGACTACCTCTGGAAGTGGTCGTGACTGGACAAACTCAAAACGTTTTAGACCCCGTTTACACCTGTATTTAGCATCGTCCACTTGTGATTCGATCGACCAAAAGGCATTTTAATACCAGGTGTAAACAGCGCCCAGTCTTCTTTACATTTGACCAACATGCTACTGTATATGAGTTCCAGTTGAATCTATGTGAGAAAACTCATACTCTGGTAACACTTTACCTCAGTCTGACAAGAGAAATATAGAGCGGTGTTGATTTACAGTGTTTTGCTGTGAGGTGCTAGATCTGTGTCCTTCTGCTAGCGTACAGGGGTCACGGTAACATACTGTTTCAGGGTTGAATAAAGACATCCTCCAGTGACAGTCGTTTAGATAAGATCAATCTGTCTGTCTGAATACTGTGCAGGTAGACAGACAGTGGGCACATTAGTGAGAATTAATGCACACAATTTAGAAAAAATCATAAGAGAGCCATAAACCTTTCATTTCTATTCTCAACGCAAGTGTCATTTTCAAATACAATTTTGTTTTGTTTTGTACAAAATCATAAGATTTTTAGAAAAAAGTAAGCATGAAGGTCCACACCTCACCCCCTAAACTGAACCATCATTGCGACATAAGCAGATTGTACAAAAGCTTGTACAATCTCATTCATACGAATTAGCCACCTATTCAGTAAAAACAATGTACTATTAGGTTATTGCCATAAGGTTCATTCTGAGAACATTTCGAAACTGGTTGCTTGGAAGGACTAAAATTCATGTTGGCTGATTGTCACGATGTCAAACAGGGCTTTCCGATTACATTCTGAAAACTCTGACTGCCGGGTCCACAGCTGGACTTATCCAATACGTGAGAAAGTTTATTTTGGCAGATGGATGTGAAAATAAAACACAGCGTCTTACTCATCTATCATGTTTAGTTAATTTTGGTTGGGAGGAAAAAGGATGTGGATGGTAATCCCATGTTTATAGAAACACCAAGAGTTGTTTCTGTGGCATTTTGGCTCCCTTGTGCACATTTGAAATTTTCCCTACTAAAACAACCCACCGAACCTCATTAAAGCAGCAGACGAAAACTGATGCAACTGGCAGGTCTTTTGTGGTGTTGCATTCAAACGTCAGCAAGGTTCTGCATCATGGGACAAATGCATTAAACCTTTTAGCAAACGCTAGTAAAAAGAAACAGAAGTAAGTGGAAGCCTAGTTTTAAAAAACAAAGAAGAAAAAAAAGACAGCTATTATGTAGTTCAAGATGTGATCAACACTCACTTACAATACCTCACTATAGGCTATACATTTCTTTTTCATTTTGTGAATGCAGATAATGGGTGATTCGGGATGCATTGCTTTATAACCAGGATTGCAGTCCATGCTCTGGAGCTACAATTCAGTAGGCTAATTAGCAAACAAAAAGAAAGCATGACAGTCTAATAGCACAAAATTGCCCCTATTTTCTGACAGTCTCACTGTAATTTAAGTAAAGAATACCAAGCTGTTGTTTCAGCTGAGAGAGAGCCGGTAATGACCCACGGCCCTCGTTTCAAAACCGCAACATGTACAGTACCTGGGACAAAACAGCCCTAGATGATGATCACTGCAAATCACCATGTTATGACATCTCTATGCTCTGGAGACCAAGGTTTATATGCTTTTAAGACTGCAGAATAGACCATCACATATTATAATGTTTTGATTGACTCATGTCTGGTCCAAATCCATTTTTAAATGCATGTTTTTGTATTCTAAACTTGCCACCATACATGTTTTGTTTATTCTTTTATTTTTTAGTTTATTAATACATGTGTTTTATTCGTTCATTTTATTTGTATGCATTTTATTATTTATTCATTCAGTTTTCAAATTAGAGTTTTCTGCCTAAATTGATGCCTAAAATTTCTCGCATCCTGTTTTGACAGGAAGCTGCTGTACTTCTTTCAGAGGTTGTCTGTGAATAACATCTTGTCATTCTGAGTCCAAACCAAACACTTTTACGGCCTCCTGCATCCCCTTGCTCCGAGTGTCAGGGCTAAAGCGCTAAAATGGAGAAAAATGCACCTTGCCCTCATATTGAACACATAAATCATCAGCGCATGGAAGCCTTGACTGCTGTTTCCTTTCCCTCTAATGGATCCCTCGTTCCACACCTCTTCTCCTTCAGCTGAGAATCAGTAAAGACACGGCATTCAGTCAACTGGGTGTGAAAAACACCCTGGGAGATGATCATTATCTAGATCATCCTAGTTCCCATGCTCGGTGTAAATTGGTAGATTCCGTGTGTTTTAGCTCATACATTCATGGTTATCCTTAGGATGTTGATAGTTTTGGTAGTTTTTCTAGTGGGGAAAAATAAAGTCCCCCCTGTGGTTTATATGTCTTTGTGGTGTTTTTAATGTGCTTTAAGACAAACCATGTGCAAATTCATAAGTCAACACCATTGCTGATATTTTCTCCTTAAAACTGCAGTGGAAAAAAAGCGGTTTGAAATCGCTGGTGTTTCTGACGTCACAAACTACCTTGTAACCAATCACGTCAATGTGGCGGCGGGCTTTAGCATATCATTAACAGTGAACTGGGGGGGGGGGGGTCTCGAAAGATGCCAGGTTATCCCGGTATATTTTTTTGTTGATATGAAAAATTGGGTTGATTTAGCAATATAGCTGGTGTATGATGTATATTACGATGTTATGATGAACTATATGCTTTTCTCCACTGACGTTCTGAGTTGTTCAAAACGTTTCTGATGATTGTTAGAAGGCAGACTGAGATGCGAATGGGAACATGGTTTGTGTAACATTAGCAACACATTATTAACTGTTTGATAACATAGTCAAGCAAAAGGCTAATCATATGAATTACCGTTATGTGTCCGGCGTTGTAAAGAGCGATACCATTGTGCAGCGTTTACCTCGGTAAGTTGGCCGAGTGAATCTGTGAGCTGGTGTGAGTGAGTGGAGGCGGGGCTAATTAGCATATTCAGATTCCGCATATACTAAATAAAGCAAGAGTGTAGAGTTGCATTCAAGTTATTTTAAGGCATTAAAAAAAAAAACCTTTAAAGGGGAGATGTCATGGAAATCTGGCTTTTTCCGTGTTTAAGTGCTATAATCGGGTCCCGGTGCATCTACCAACCCAGAAAACGTGAAAAGTGACAACCCAGTACCTTTGTTTTGGTAAGCCTTTATCTGCAAGCGTGTCAAAAAATAAAAATAAGCCGATCAGGGGTGCGTTTCCCGAAAGCATCGTTAGCCTACTATGGTCGCAAGTTGGTCGCAAATCCCATTGAACTCTATTGGTAACGACGGAACTTGCGACCATAGTTGGCTAACGATGCTTTCGGGAAACGCACCCCAGATCTCGCTGGGCCGGCAGATGCAATTACCTACCAGCCTATGAACGAGTGAGCCAGCTCTCAGATTTCATCAAAAATATCTTAATTTGTGTTCCGAAGATGAACAAAAGTCTTACGGGGTTGGAACAACATGAGGGTGAGTAATTACTGACAGAATTTTCATTTTTGGGTGAACTAACCCTTTAAGTGAAAACCCCAAGTATACTGCATATTTAATTTAAAGGGGTCACGTGGCAAACGGACCAAGTGACCAAATTTTTCTTTCTTTGGCAAATGCAAGGTGTTTTTTTCAGTAGATAAAACAAATAAATGGTTTCTTTACTGGTACACAACCTCTCAATCGAGCCTCTTGTAGCCATTGGCATACAGTTCAAGGTCTAATCCAGGTCTTTAGAAGCTGTTGTGAGGTGGTTTGCATCCCCCTATCAAAATGCTCACTAGTCCTAGACCAGCCACAGCACTCTGCATTCTGCATGGTAGTGGTCTCACGGGGCTTTGAAATAATTCTGCGGACATTGTGACCATTCATATCCTGCACATGAGCAATATCCCAAACCGATTGACCAGATTTAGCCATTTTAACAATATCCTTCTTGGTTGCAGAGGACAGCTCCTTCCATTTGGTCATTTTTGCTGAACCCACAAAATAACATTTAATAATACAGCTAGTACCTGCCTCACCTGAAGTCCCTGCGGGCCCTTGATGGAGACCGTGTGCAATCGAGAAGTCCTGAACTTATCGGCAACACGTACTGGTGCGAATTGGCTGACACTACACTATCCAAAAAACTTCTAGATGCTGCCTGCAGATCATTAAAATGATGATGGATATCACAGTGAAGGCACTGCGATCCAGAGTTAGATAAGCACACTTTCAGTCTGGTGTCACAGTAAACTTGAATCATGCAATTTGAAATTGAAATTAGCTCGCTGAATATATCGGAGTTGCAGCCAACGACTTTACTATGAAACAGGAAATAAAATCATTGGCAAGAACAAGTGAATTTCATCCTGAAAAACTCAAAGTTTCAAAGAAATATTCAATTTAAGCCACACAGTATGTCTTAAACATCAGTAGGAGATAACATTTCCCGTACTGTGAACAGTTTTATTCCATATATCTTTCGTTAAATTGGATTCTGCAGGAATGTATTGGAAGGTTATGAAGGGCAATCTGAAATCGCTTCACGGCCGCTTTGTTTTTTCTTCGTGTTTTTCTTTCTTTTTCAAATCTTACTCACTCCAATATTCCGTCTACAAGGTGAAGCACTTGAGATATCAGTAAAGAGACTACTACTCCCTGGGTATCTCCAAGGTGCAGTTCAATAATGTTTCATTTTTGTGTTTCATTTTGTAAGAAGCCAAGGGCTACGCAGAACATCATCTTGACTGGGCTCGGCGAATGACGGCGGTAGAATCTCTCGCCGTGAAACATAGTTACAAAAAGTAAGAAAGAAGTGACTCATGACACATTGTGCCAAAATTATATTTCACAGCAGCGTAGCAAAACTCATATCTCTTGCCAGATGTCTGTAGCCTGCAGTTTGTCTTCCGGAAAAGTCTTGTTGGTAGATTTTAGAGATTTATAGGCACCTTAGCATGAGGTCTCCGCTTGTAAACTATAAACAACAGACAAATTACCCGCCAGTTCATCATCAAATGATAGAAGACGTTTGACGTGAATCTGGCAACTAGCTTCCAAAGTCATCAAAAACGAGCTTTGTAAGGTGCTTTGTTAGATTCTTCAATTGTTTGATGATGGATATGTACAAAATAAAGACTTGGAAGTGTTTGCGAATTAACAGGCACAATAACAGAGAAAATGAAATGTCCTAAGCTAAACACCTTCGGTGGAAATGGGAAAGCCTTGTGAACTAAATGAACCCTAACTTTGCTTAATTCATCTCCATTAGCTTGAAGCTAGCGTATGTCTTTGTGTTGAAACAAATTGTCTCTCAGTGTCATACAGAATAAATGGTGCAACGCATAGGCTGTTTAAAGTGAAATGGCTTTTTGGAGATAGGATTTGGTGTTTGGTAATTTTTGTGATATTTTAGCAGTATGTGTTGGATTGAAGTGAGCGTGTGTATTTTTTGTTAATGGTAACCGACCGTTAGATTTATGTTTTTATAATTAGATTTAAATTGGTATGTTTTCCTGTCATTTTCGCTTGTTTCTTCAACATACATGGGCTCTAAGAGTCTGAGACCACTTTGAAAATCTGGGATTTTAGAAATAAACAGAATTTTGGGAGTTACTTTAATTGGGACATTAAAGGTTAATTCATACAAATTCAGGACAATTTTCGTTCATCTTTGAAACACAAATGAAGAGATTTCTGTCCCTTCATTGACAGCTACGCAACTACCACTTTGACACTGCAAAAAGTTCATAAAGTGATCGTAAAATGAATCCTTATGAATTGAGTGGTTTAGTCCAAATTTTCTGAATCAATCTCTTTACTATTCAAGAATCCGTTGTACTAAGAGAATAAGATTATTCGTTGATTATTATCTTATGAGAAGGAATATTACATTTAGACTCATATCAGAAAGAACTTTTTCTGGTTCTTTAAAAACAACTACTTTCTCAAAACACTGTATTGTTTTGTCTGGTTTGCCCTTAGTCAGACCCAGCTTTAAAGGCTATGGACATGTCAAGCGTCCCTGAGGTATGTAAACAAATGTTCAGCATGTGGGATGGGAGTTCCCGTGGGACGGGAGCTTTTATAGCTTTTGTTGGCCCATACATTTCAATGTTTTTGATCAGTAATTATTATTTATGCTTTTAGACTTGGAAAAAACAAACCTGTCACCTAAACAGAAAGACAGAAATCTCATAGTTCGACTCATATCTCTATAGAAAAAGTTCATAGAGGACAGCCATCTTGGACACAAATTTTCAACATAGGGGTGTAGAAAGTGATAACATTCAAAGTCTCTCTGTGACCTATCAAAAATCATGATCTCTGAAGGTTTGGAAAGGTCAGTGGTGAAAGAAAGCAGGCGATGTGGATTCAAACTGAGATAAAAGATGAAAATCTTTTTCGTCTGTGGGAAGGAACTGAGATCTAGTTTATTAGGCTTTGGATGAGACGTCTTTTGACTTGCAGTGACATAATTTTTGAGTTGGTAATAATCTTTATGAAAAGCAATGATGCTAAAAGTAAGCTATTTTAAAACGGTCTGATTATTTTCTCGGTTGGCCTAATGTGGTTATCTTAAATCAAATTGTGCATAAGAATAAGGATCCCAGTTGAGTCCGGTGCCTGCAACAATTTGCAAATCGGCTTTATTCAATGCTAGATCCTGTGCAAATTGAATCAAGCTTCATTTGATTGTGCAGAACGTATGTTAAATGTAATTGCAAGTGTTACAGCAAATCCGTTGTTGCGCTCCGAGTGACATTTACGCAATGTAAGCCATTTGTCAAGGCGTCACAACTTCAGCAAGTACAGTAATGTAAATGTAATAGTGATTTAAGCAGTGGTACCAACAAGTCTTTCATAGTGAGATTCACGTTAATGCAGATTTATGAAGGGCGTCGCGTCCTTTCTGTGATTAGGGATATAATGATTTCATACAGCCAAGCCAGGACGCCTGTCATGACGAGAAACCGGGTTGCAATTATTCATAATTAGATCCCTGTACCCACAGTGTTCTTTTGGAAATCATTGTGGCTTTCTGTAGTTGTTTTCTTTAAGCTGTCCTGATGTTGAGTGAAATGTGACCCTTAAAAAAAAATAGATTTTTAACAAATTTAACAAAGCAAGTTTGTTTTGCTCAAGTAGATACTATCTCGCACTTCAGAACAGAGAGAGAACAGCACATACATTATTCTTTAAATGAAAGAAAATATCACAGAGGAGGATTTTAATAGACTGTGCAGAAATATTTTTGGTGAAAACTGTCTTCCTCAGCAAATACTTCTGTAATGAATGTGTCTGCTGGACAGTGGGATTAAAAGACAGAATTAGATAGAAAGCCAAACGTCTTATGCTTTCATGGGATAATACAAATCAAGCATGTGCCTAATACTCAAGATAATGCGCTTACTGGCCTTAGAAAGATAGTATACAGTAGAGAGAATGCAACAGTGTCTGTTTGATTTTCAGTGGCATTGGTCCCGGAAGTATTTTTCACGTTCATCTTTCCCAAAGAGATTTTTAAAAAGTTTTCAATAAAGAGTTATAAGCAATGAACCAAACCAACCAGCAACAAGGTGAATCACAACATTACAAACTTTGATTTGAATCAAAAAAGTATTTGAAAATGAGACAAAAAGACAAAGGTACAAGACTGTACTTATCAGCTTTAATGAGGGAAAGAACTACAATCCTATAAAGCATTGCAAATAATATAATCAAACAATGGATAAATATAAAACTATTCATTTAAAGATGTAGATTACGTTTATAGAAACAATATAGTTTACATTTTATTGCAAAATATACATAAAAATACAAATATTTAAATAGTTTGAGAGTGTAGAGAGACTTCGTGGAAGTGGGCGGGCGCTAAAGAATTCTTTTGGTGCAATTTGCTTGTTGTGATTCTCTGATTGGTGGAGATTCTCTGCAGAATCATGGGTAATGTAGTTCTTTACACTGAATTCCATTATTAAACATCCAGAGAGCTGTGCAATAAATATTATCAACTAAATATAAGATTAGTAATTTGGGTTTGAAATGACACGATAGTGAGTAAATGTCCCTCCTGAATGTATAGTATTATGCCATACCCCCCCGGGTCTGTGCCGGGTCAAGGTTTTGGTGCCAGGTTGACACATCAACCACAGAGTGTGTGTGTGTGTGTGTGTGAGAGAATGAGTGAGTGAGTTAGCCTCCTCACCTGTCTCTAAGTGCGGGCTCATTTCTCAGCTTGATGTTTGAGAGTAATCTATTCCAAGCCAATCAATCCAACCAGAGAATGGAAGGTGGATGTCAGGGGGTCCAAAGTTTAATGTCGAAGAAGTAGACACTTTGACATTCCTTAGGCTATACTGTCACAGTTTGAAAAGATAATGACTTTTACTGTGCTAACATCCACTGGGAAATTACTGGCCTGTGCCAAAAAAGGAGGCGGAGAAAAGAACGGAAGATGGGAAGGAAAAAGATCCAGGTCATGGGGATTTCTTGTTTACCGCCATTTCGGAGCCCCGGGGCAAGACAGTTCCACTGTAAGATGTCCATTTCCTTGAAAACCCACAATAATAATGCGAGAAAGGGAAATGCAGCTCCATTAGCATGCCTGTCTCTGTGCAAAAAAGCTGTCTGAAGTGACCTAAAACCTTTCCTCCACCTACATCCTTTTTGACTGACGTTTCTAATTTAATTCCAAGCCTCTCTGTTATTGCAGCTGGGCAGATGCAGATTCTTAACTGGAAGGCGCTTTAATTGTTTCCATGGCAATTAAGTGTACACAGCTGTGATGAATATTCTGAAGCACAATAGAGGGATGAGCAAATTGACCCTGAGTAAACAAATCAGGCTCATTCTCACAACCAATAGAAAAGGAGTGGAGGAAGTGCAGCATAAGCAACTTGGAAAGGATGTGGTGGGCCTTTATGTTATAGGTGAATGAAGGGGCAACACAAATATTCACTCTCCAACTAAAATGTCAGCGGTTGCATTTAAAATGTCTAGTAAAATGGTTCTGTAAATTAATACTATTGTGCGAGGTCAAATAGAAACATTTGCATTTTTGCAGCAGATTTTGACATGGAACTGCAGTATAATGGTTTATGTATTTGGCAGATGGTTTTATTTAAAGCAACTCAAAAGTACGCAAAAGCAACGTAAAGTATCTTATATTCTTATGAACATAATTTGGAATTGATTCTTTCATTGAATTGTTAGTTCATAAAATGGAATGATTTGTTTATGAATCTGACTGTCCCAATTCTTGAGTTAAAAAGATATGGCTTAAGAAGGAATGGAAAATCACACACAAGTCGTATTGTATGATACTTTTGTTTTTGAAGCTTGATAGCCCAAGTCATCATTAACTTCTTATTGTATTGAAAAGAATGATATTCTTCAAAAATCCACTTTTGTGTGAATGTTAAATGATGAATTTTCGCTTTCGTGTGCATTGATTCTCAACATTCAATGCTCAGCTTTGACAAAGAATGAATTGGTTTGTGATGAATCTTTTTTTCTTGAGCAATGCGCATACTCATAAAACTAAACATGTCCAGAGTTTTTATATATTTTTTTATGCTTTTATATTTTTGTTATTTACAGTGCAGCTAGACTTGAAGAAAATTTTATTTCGACAATAAAAAATCCACTAGAAATCAAATCCTCAGCTCAAAACTTCTTTTCATAAGCTTTAAAATGAGTACAGCTACAAAAAATAAGCTGCAAACTTTAATAATAAAAGCATTGCTGTTATATCAAAACACATGGCAAGCTTCATGTGCTTTTGGCCCCAAGTGTGCACTTTTGTCTGAGTGCCAGTGTGTACTATGGGAAATGGGAGTTCATTATCTTGATCCGTTCTGTCCAGACAGTAGAAACTAAATTTCCGCAATTGCCAGTGTGCCACATGTGTATACCAGCCAATAAAGCCTTAGTCTGATTGTTTAGTGGTTTATGCAGCATCTGTGAAGGTGCAATCCACAACAGCCACAGAAGCAACGACTGTTATTCCTGTAATTGAACTCCAAGATGACAAAATGTGTTTAGACACTACATATGCTTGCGGTCAACCCGGAGACTTCTGAGATAGTCGTGAGGGTGTAAGGCGCTCATTCCAACAGAACTGCCAGCTAGCCATAAGACTTCTGATTAAAATTTCTCACTTTGAAACATAAACAGCTTGAGGAGAACATAGCGTTCTGCCGTTAAATCATCAGCAAACCTTTATTTAACTTCACACAATGCTGTAGTACAGACTGTGCCTCCTTGTCACCGGATTGTATTCGCTCCAAGAACTTTATTATGTGTCTAATACATTGTCACCTTCTCCCAGTTTGGTATGTGCATCCCTCGACAGTGTTTGTGAAGGCTAAATAGAGAGGCGTTTTGTCGCTGGGATCTTCAAATGCTAAACATGAGCTATTGTGCTGTCGTCCTACCTTTCGTGCCTGAGAGAGCCATGGGAACAGATTCTCACATTCACATGCAAATACTCAAAAAGCATGCATCTCTGTTTGCTGTGTGGATAAACTGGATACTCACTCTCTCTCTCTCTCTCTCTCTCTCCGTGCACCTTTCATCTTTTCTATCAGAAGGAGCTGTTTGCTTCAAAGATAAAACCATTTCCACAGGCCTCTCAGAACCACACATTTTAAGACCTCTTTTGGATGCTGCAATAGGTTGTGCTGATAAGAGGACGTGGAAGACAATACCCATCGCTTTTTGGTTATTTAAATGAAGTAATGACAATAAATGTTCAAAGGGGAATGTAGAGCTTAGAGATCTTTTGAATGATGAGGAAAATCACGATGATGTTTCCTGAAAGACTGTCAGACAGCAAATTGTAGCTAAAGCAGTGGTTTCTACACTGTAAAAAGATATTTTCAATATTTTTTTATCACATTTTTTCTTTTGCCAAATCAACTCAGGTAATTTATGTGGTTGAGATAACATAATATTTTGAGTTTCAGTTGATTAAACCAATCTTCTTCGTTGTATTAACTAAAAATAAATTAATTTCAATGAACTCAAATTTTTAAGGTAACCTGGTTTACTTACTTTTTTAAGTTAAACCAACAATCATTTTTTTTAGTTATCTGAACAAAAAATTACTCTGCTGTGGAACATTATGTTTGAGGCTATACCAATCATGATTTTTCTCTTTCACTGCCTCAGCGTTAGTCGACTCAGGAGCTGCTGCCAACTTCATTGATGCCGAGAAAGACTCAAGATTCCTCAGGATCACCGCTATTGATGACAAACCTATTGGAAATGGCCTAGTTCAAGCCATCATTGCTGCCATTCAACTGCAAGTGTGACTACTGCACAAAGAACAGGTAGAGTTTCATATTGTCCAGTCTCCTTGAAACCCCATTATTCTTGGCTATTAGCCCTCCACAATCCTGACATCTCTTGGTCTGAAGGAGAACTCCGCCAATGGTCAAGAACCTAGAACCACAAGAACCTAGAATACATCCGGCCTGCCAAACATTTTAGTCCTCGCCAAGCAAGATGGCTGACGCCTTATCACGTATCAAGTAAACCTTTCCAACTCTCACATTCTTGACCCTTCTATAATTGTTTGCACCGATTAGGTGGGATATCATGGACATCGAGAATGCCCAACAACCTGGCATGGTTTGCACTGACTTCCCTGCAGGTAAACTCTTTGTGCCTTACCACTCTGTGATTTACCCTATTGCTTCTATTAAATCTCCCTTTGCTCTCCCCAAGTCTGTTATGATACACTATCACTGTATTTTAATAATTTTTTATTTATTTAAAATATTAAGCCTTAAATTTAAGATTAAACCTTTCAATACATTTATTTGTTTATTACAGCTTCATATAACTCTCTTTTTATTGTGCTACACACTTTTGATATGAAATATGGCTTGATATTTGAAGCTATACCAACCACACTGACGAGCCATCAGAAATATTATTTTGTATTGATTCATGAAGTCTGGTCTAAATTCAATATGGCAAGATTTGAACATTTTTCAGTATGCTTTCACAAAATATTGTCCATTTTCTTCATACATATAGTATATTAAAAGAATATGCTGTAGTGTGTCCTCAGAGATTGTAAGGATGTGATTGGAAAAATATTCTTTTGTAGATGCAACAATAAGATGTTTTTCAGATGGTTTATGCCTCTATATTGCCTAAAACATTACATTGAATATATCCTGAACATCATTCAAGTGCAAACATGTGATAAAATGGCATCCCTCTTCCAGAGGTGTAACATACTGGTACTTATTTAGACCAGAACTAATGGGGAGGTGGAGGGGGACTTATTATGTAAGTTTGAAAGTTGGTTTCGCAATCACTTTTTGACAGATTAACCATTCTTATTTAACCATTAAACTTTGCTGCTGAGACAAGAGAGAGATTTTTATGAGAAATTTACTTTGATCTTTTATTCTAATTTAAGCAAATGGTCTCAGAGGATAAGCTAATATAGAAGTTCTATGCTCACACAAGTTCAAACAAGCCAATGCCATACACATTTGTTCTGGTGATGAAAGACAGAAAGAGACAATAGTGCTGTGTTCAAAGGAAATGACATAAGTTGGCAGTAATTACAAAAAGAAATTTAACTGAGCTATAAAGCAAAGGTTCAAACTCGATGCCATTATAAAAGATGCTGTAGAAGTTATGCTGTGTAGCAGTCGGTAACTTAAAAGAATAATCACCCAGAAATTTTAATACGGTCATGATTTGACAAAGAATGAATCATTTCTCTCATTGAATGTAGTTCATAAAAGTGGTCTAAATGATTTGTATGAATCATACTGTCCTAGCTCTAAAATTCAATTCACTGATTAAATAATTTAGGTGATAAGTAAATAAACTTAAGTTTTGGAAGGTTCCTCACTTCAGAATTTGAAGGTAGAGCACCTGCTTTTATGTGCTTTTACTTCCTTTTTAAGGTTTAAAAGTAAGTAGTATGTCATATTAGAACAAAATATGAGTTTCATTACAGAATAACCCTTAAAGAACAAAACGTCCTGTACTGCACAATCATTTATCATATTTTACTTTGCACATTTAGTTACGGCATTAAGGAAAATTATTGGATGCTACATTCCATTCCATAATTTGAATCGATACACTTGTGGTTCCCTGAAATAGTTTTTCCGTAACAGATAGTATGCACAACAGTGCTGGGCACAGAGTCAGGAAAATCTTTCTTTCTTCTTGTGTCATTGCTCAATGATGAAGCACCTATATCTCCAATTGGATTAAAACTAAGGTAAGCAGCACAACGTCATGTCATAATTTAATGAAACGCACAAAGCAAGGATTTATGCACTTTCAGGGAAAAAATCGTAAAAAATGTTCCTTTTGGGGTACAACAGCTTGTTTTTTCTGACAGTGTGGGTGCGTCTTCAACTCTGGGCCCTTATTTGAAAATAAAATCTCTTAACTCACTTTTCACACTCTTACTAGTGTAATTTGTCCACTTGCAATATATAAAATATGTTTTACGGGAGAAATTATTTTTTTAATTAATTCAAAAATGTCATTACAGACACGTACCTCTCCAATTATGTGTTGTGTTTAATAGCACTCTAATAGTGTTGGAAATGACTTGGTGAAAATTACTTTTTTGTAGTGAGGAAGGATTTGTGTAAAAATTTACATAAATGAATAGTTCAACCACGAAACACTATTTGCGTTCTGATTGGTTGTTTCAAACCTCCACAGCCAATCTATTTCATGTATTCAGTACTACTTCCCTTTATGACTACAACACGTCCAAACAATTACACTAACTGTGCGCGCTATGCAAATTCTTATTCTAGCCCTCCGTCCTCCCCAGCACCACCTGCATACTAGTCCGCCAAGACCAAACATTTCGTTTACATTAATAAAACATTTTATAAACTATCCCAATAGTTGTCATGACTGAAATCCTTTTTTTTTCTTCTTCATTATTTGCCTAATTATTATATATTTTTTAAATGTTATCATTAATACTTTATGGTAGATTTTTGTATTTTTAGAGAGATTTTTAGAAAACAAAATGATAGTCTATACAAAAGTTATTTGAAAAGTAGCAAAAAACCATAAAGACTGTTTTAAGCGTCTTATAATGCAAAGACAAATGTTGAAATCTGCTAATTGTAATAAAACTCAACTGCTAGGACATAAAAATTGCCATAAAACTGAAGCTGAAGAAACACCCATAAATGTTTCCTTATTGAGAGCCATAACATTGTGGCAAGCTTATGAATAATAGACTACAACAAATTGTTTTTACTTTGTAAAACGATTTAGAGAGTATTAGTGAGAATCAAAAAGAAAAAGAAAAAAGCAAGCATAAATCTCAAACAAAGCACCATTCCCATTTGCTGTGAAAAAATAGGAAAAGAGTTTCTCATGCAATTGGAAAATTGCTTCACTTGTGCCTTAGTGGCTTCCATTTGGGTTTGTTTATTGTTCCTTGGCAGCATTAGGCCAAATTCAATAGATTATGAAGGGAAACATTTAATCATTTATGGTGGGAGAAATTGCTTTTATTGCTGCACACATGAAATGAATGAAAACAAAGAATACAACGCACAAACCTCGTTCGGCCTGCACAGATATGTCTTACTTAAGAGGCCAGATATGTAATCATACATTCATAAGACATCCAAGCAAGAAGGAAGAACTTAGTAAAGGCGATTAGTAAAGAATTGCATGATATATATACTTTTTTTTTTTTTGCTCCAATATGAAATACAAGCTTAAAGTCTGCAAGCAGTGTGTTTTGCCAGAACCTCCCTAGTCCTTTCAAGGCAGGTGAAGTTATCTGAAGCGAATGAGTAATGATTGTTGGCTCCCATCACAAACCTATTGCAGATGTGTTTGTTTAGCAGGGGTCACCCTGTATGAGAGCAATATAGCAAGTCACATAGGATGGGATTTTCACTTTATATATATATATATATATATGTATGTTTAGGTTTAGACCATGGTTGCTTCTCATAGAAAAGTGAAAATCTCATCCATTTATTTATTTATCTATTTTTGTAACAGGGTTGGAAAATATGGGCTAGCTAGTTAGGGCCAAATGTTGGTTTATAGCTATCATTTCCCATAAATTAAAGAGAAATATTTGTTTGATGATTTTTTTCTTACAATAACATGGCAGGGTTGAATGGTTAAAGCAAAAATTGTCCGAAGTTTGTGTAGAAATTGACAAAATTGAATGAGATTGTTTACTTGTCTCCATCATGCTGTGGGAAAAGTAATGTTAGTTTTTCTTGAAACAAAAGATTGTCAAAATGATGCCCTTGTTGTATGATTTTAATTGTTAGATACAGTCATGAAGGTTAAAATCTCTGAGGTGGAACGGGCCAAATGTACCATTTTAAGGGGGGAGCCAGACATTTCATGTGTTTACTGTAAAACTAGCTATTTTTCATGCTAGGCTAATTTTAAGTTAGATTTTAAAAAGACAACAAAGTTTACAGTGACAGTTGTCTTGCCGATGGCCAGGGAACAGACATTTCTCACTTAAAAATAAAAGGCCAAGTGTCAATTTGGCATACATTAGCAGTGAAGTGCAAGACATATTTTGTTTCATTCGACCAAATTAATATACACTCAAACACCATGGAATTTGCATATATATTGGATGAGCCTGCAAAACTGTCCAATTATGACAAAGTATTTTTTACCATCATTATTTGGTCGATTTATGCACAAACACTTAATCAGGATACTGTCTCCTGTTGCCATGGAAAATATTTGGCAAATGAGGACCGTTGGCATTCTTGAAAAAGATTCAGTGACATATTATCATATAACATTCCGACGCTGAGCCAACCCAATACTGATGTGAATTAATAGCATAATAAATTTGAATAAAATTTTTTTTGTCTTTAGGGACAATCCGGATTTAATTAAAAGTCTATTCTCCATCTGATATCCAATACAGATTTAACCATGTCTGTTTGGTTTGCAGGTTTGATTGGTCTTCCATCCAGTCTTTTTGTCTGTTTCTGCATGATTCCATGCTTCATTGAGATGGATTATTCTGCTGTTCCTCGGTTTCGGTTTTTCTCTTACAGAATTTAGATTGAAATGATAAAGTACAGTATGAGTGCATTTTTTTGATTTGCTTGTCGAGTAACAATGTTAAAACTCTGACATGCTCAAAGCTCATTTAAAATTTTGTTTTAGAAAGGGTATATTTCATGTTGACTTTTAAAACATTTAGTTTGGAAAGGCAATTTAAGAGCAAAATGTCTCTCTAAATAAAAATGGCACTAAATAAAAAAAAAATTATTTTCCATAGGGCACTGCTAAGCAGGTCTTCTGCAAATCCAGGGAATTTGGCATGAAAATTCATCAAATTTACTAATGGAGGAGATGTGCTCTTCAAAGTATGTGCTTTTTCTGCTTTCAGTGGATTTTCCTTGCAGTTATCTGCTCAACACAATTTGTACCATTTGTACATGCCATACATCGCTTTACATTACTGCCTTGACGCTTCATTTCTCTGAAGAAT